TCAAAACAAGATGATACTAAATCAGTATTACCTATTAAGGTGTCATTTTCTCCAAAATAGCTGTTCCTATCATCCAATCTTCTCTGCCTCATTTCTGTTGAGCTCTTTTTCTGTCAGTAGCTGTCAGTTTGTCTTCTTCATTTTGTTCTCTGCTCCATTCGTTGTGGCCTCCCCGCCACTATTTCTGGATTTAGATCTATGTTAGTAATATTTTATGACACAGTCGATTATGTTTTGTTTGTTGCTACTGGAGATTGATAGACTTGCCACTGATTTATGTCTCTCATCCAGTTATTTATTTGGATGAGAAGATTTGGTCCAATTTATTTATTAGACTTACAAAGATGGGATTTACATTTCCGAGCCTTCATGCTAAATTCCCCAGAAATGCTGGGATTGGAAGTGTGTACCAGCATGCCTGTTTGGTCACCTGTTTTTCTAACACACCTTCTCATTGCTGTTAATCTTCCAAAGCAGTCTAGGGCTGTGACACAGATAACTGGAGTGTACTTCAAATAAATGGTGCCCTCTGAAAATGTATGGGGTTTGTTGTGATAATACCTAATTGAACACTGTATTTGATCGCCATTTTCTGCCTATGGCACTATATTCTTCTTAACTTAGATTTTGGAGTGTAACGGGATAAAAAGTTTGGTGAGGATTAGGCAGAAAATGTGACTATCTCTCAGTCCCTTCCTTGGCCATAGAAAGTTTTAATTTGGCAAGCAGATGCCTCTCCTTCCCACTTGTTCTCCTTTGCTCCCTGTTGCATGCCAATTGACTCACACAATTCTTTTCAGAATTCTGTGTTATCAAATCGCCATCCTCCTCTCCTACATGGGTACAACCAGGCCAAGGCAGGTAACTTGCCCACTCCTGCCCCTTCAGCTGATACTGTTGCATTTGAGACTAGATAGGGCACCATGAAGAATAGATAAAAGCAGTGAGGGAGGGAACTGTGTTTCTTATTTCTTTATCCCAGTGCACATCAAGCATTCTAATAATCCCTCATTTGAGCCCTCTGCCCAACTCACCCAGGTCTGTTGTCACAAGGAAAGACCAGCAGCTAAAGAAATCTTGTGCTTAAGGGATGCCAAGCTTGCCCATGCCAAGGGAGAAATTTTCAGGACAAGTAAGTGACAGAAAACTTTCCTTAGTGACATCATGCCAATCTTGGTGTTCACTTGCTATCTTAATGCCCCTGGTGATATCTAATAGGTATCCTTGTGGTTTTCTAAAAGAAATTTATAAAAATGAGATGAAGTAAAATCATGCTGTTTTGGCAAGAGCTCAGACGTGTTATTTATTTTTCTTAAGACAATTTATATCTGGGATTCTATTTCATAGAGCCCCAGGTACACTACCTGAAATATCCCTATCTGTGTTAGACAGTGCTTGCTAGGTAAACACATTAAGTGCTAGTAATCAAATTTACAAGATTTAAATGCTTAACTTAGAGTTGCGGCACACAGAGTCACATACAGTAGAGTCAGAAAGGCTGTTTGCACTCTGGAGACACAAAGAACCCAGTTCAAATCTTGGAGTTGTGTTGAAAACAGGGTGAGTTCTTCTCAAACAGATGTGACCCACCCTTCTTGGATTCCCTATGATACCACTTAGATAAGGATCCACCTTAAGGGGGATCTTTGCAAAGTACTCTAATCCACTTGAGCTCAGCATGTTTTACTCAGATTAACAGATTTCAGTTCATTCTTTCTCTACCTGTGTTCTGTCTTCTTAATGAAAAGGATTTCTTTTGCTGCTGCTGAATTTCTTTATAATTTTCATTAATTTACTTAGTTAAAAATTTTGAAACAGTGTCTTGTTATGTAGTGCAAGCTATTTGTATGCCTTCCATGATCCTGAGACTGTTGTATTCCGGGATTTAAGACAACTCCACTATGCCTAATTCTTCTATTTTCTAGTTTGTAAAGAGGTAGGGCAGGTTTCTGGAATTTGAGTATTCAGGAATCAACAGCAGCAGCCAGGCATAGTAGTACATGCCTTTAATCCTGGAAATCCAGAGCCTGAGGTAGGAGGATCCTAACAAATGTATGACCAATGTGAACCACATAGCTAGAGCCTGTGTCAAAAAGAACAAACACACACACACACACACACACACACACACACACACACACAAATAAACACTAATCAAACTAGTTATGTTGGAATGAAGGAAACAGAAGTACTTCCAATAGGCTTGAGAGGAAAATAATCTCTCATATAATCACAAAATCTCAGAAATCCTCCCTGGGAAAATGTGAGAATAACAGGCAGCACTGCAGGAAGCTTTGTGGATTTGAAGTCCCAGGTAAGAGCAGAAGGAATTGAGTACTGTGAACCCTAAGAACACTCAACGCAGGTTGCCAAAACATGCATGTAGGAAAAAGACCACATTTTGGAGAAACTTCTGGGGAACTACAATCCTACTTCAGCTGGTCAAGAACAGAAAAGGCCAAGGAACCAGAAGTTACAGTCCTAAATAAATAAGAAAAGCTATGAAATCAACAAAAGTGTTTACTGTAGGGTGAGTCCAGTTACTCTTGTTCTACTTTGCCACTAGTAGAGAAATAATTATCTCAGGGCCTGGGTGTGTAGGGATATCAGTGATAGCTTACAGTCTTGCACATGTATGAACACTTGGAAGCCATTTACACACACTCACACACACACACACACACACACACACACACAGAGAGAGAGAGAGAGAGAGAGAGATATATCCAAACACACAATGCATGATACCTGAATAACACAGAGGAAGTAGATCAAACACTGCAATGTAGTGCTGTATTATTATGATTATAAGCAAGATTGTGAAATAGAATCAAATCATTGCACGTTGGAGGCACACAAAGTAACACCAATGATGATAAAAAGGAATATTTTTAATGAAAAATATAGCCTAAAATTGAAGTAGTATATCTGCTAGGAAAGCTCTGAGCATAAATTTTAAAATAGCACAATAACAACTTAAAGATGTAGAAAATTTAACAATACCTAATGACTTTAATAATACCATCCTTAAGGGCTGAATTTTTTTTTTTTGAGGAAGATGGTTTTGGGGATTAAATCTTGGACTTTCATACCAATTTCGATTGTTTAGTTGGAAAAAAAAGATCTCACTAATTAGCTGAGTTGCTTAGGCTTAATCCAATTTTTGGCAAACCATCTCAGTCTACCAGGGTGCTGAGATTACTTATCCACACCTGAATTGAAGTTCTGAAACCCAAAATCTCCACAGTGCATTTTTATCTGCCACTGCTACTTCAAGTACCTTTGGAATAACTGGTCACATGACTCTTGTGCCAGTTAATCCACATCATCAACTTGATGAGATTACAAGTAGGCTGACTTGGCAACTGCAACCCTCAGTGTAATCATCCATGGATGTTCACAGTTGAGTGTAATGTTAAGAGTTGGCGCCCCATGGATCTTGCATATTGTGGAAGAGATTGGGGTGGGGGAGTATCTCTTGCAGCTGTTCATTTTGATCCTTTCCTTGTTGCCATGATAAGAACAAATTTGCACATCCAGGAAGTTCTTCCATGATGTTTGTGCCTTGGAACACCCAAACTCTGAGTATACAAACCAAAGTCTACCACTTGTACTTTAGGTTATGTGTGTCAAGTAGTTTTGTCTCAGCAAGGAAATGCTGACAAGTGGCTCAGCATTTTGTAAAGCTACCTGAACGTATTGCAGATTGTCATGGTTTGGGTATGGTTTGAACTCTTTTTTTCCATACCAGAGATGGATTCAAAACTACTTTCTTGTAAAGCAGGAGCTTGTGCTGCTGAGATAAATCCCCTACATATCTGAACTCGTATTCTAGGATGGGACTCTTATTCTGTGAATTGGGTTCACAGTGTGGCAGGGATAAAGTAATAAAGCCTTAAGAGTTAGAACATTCTGGAAATTAATTAGACTATGACAGCATTACACTCAGGGAAAGTAAAAGTCTGGCTAACTCAGCAGAGCAGCTGAAGCTAAAAATGGATCATATGTGGTGCCAAAGCAAGGCTAGTCTGAAGAACAGGGACTTCCTGAGTCAAGTCACAGGGATAGCTGCTCTTATCCCAAAATCACTGGGTGCCTGAGGCAGGTGATGTGGATAAGCTCTTTGGTGGAGAGGTTTCATATGATACTGAATCTCCCAACTGTATAAATAAATGTGCTGCATCCCATGGAGCTCCCATGTGGTTTCCTCTAGCTCCTTCTTTCTCTCCTCCTGATTCATTGTACTTTCCATCAGGAAAGAGGGCTCCAAATGGTCTCAGGTTTTTGTACTCTTGACTCTTGTGCTTTTTCTCCATGCTCACACCATTTGTATCCTAGGAAACTTGAAAGTTGCAAATCACAGGAGTGGGTCACATTTCATGAAAATGGATTAGTTTCCACAAGAATAGTCATCACACTTGATCCTAACCCAGGCCATTAATAATTCAGTAATAATAACTATTGTTATACCAGTTACCACTAGAGCCTCATCAGAAAGAAATTGATGCATGTACTGTTCTCTTAAATCTCAGAAGCAATGAGCTGACAAAATCACTTCATAAACTACACCACTTCACAAAGCTTTTTATTTAGCACAAAACATGCAAAAATACCAGGACTCTTTGAGGATATGACTGTTTCCAGATATAAGGTAGGCAAAAGATAGATGTCCCTGAGATGTCTTCTCATGTTTGAAAACCACAGTAAAAATGAATAGTGAGGAAACACTCTTCTCTAAGAAAGGCCACAGAAATTGTGTGGATCTCTTTCATCTGCATACTTCCAAATAGAACTTAATCCCATAATCAAACTGTCTGGCCACAAAGGTTAGGTAGTATGAACTATCTGGGCAGCCTATGCTCAGCTTAAACTAGGAAACCAAAAGAAGAATAGGTATTGGTGTTTGTTATGGTTTGATAACTGGTGGTCAACTTAACGCCAGCTGGATTACATCAGTATGCATTGAGAGAAGATTCTCCACCTGAGAAGGGTTGCCAGGATAAATAGGTGGAGAAGAAGAGAGGTGTAGAGAGGGATCGAGGCATTATGGAGTCATTGTTAGTTCTCCTACAAGTTGCTGTCTGAGCTGTTGGTTCTCCTGGAGAAGCTTTGGTCTTCACATCGAGCATTGCTTCCTGGCTCTGGAGGGGAAGACATGTGCTGCCTGGTCTCCAGGGTGAACTCCTTACGCTGCTTCCTGGCACGTTCCCGACTGTGCTTGTCGTTGGAGGAGCTCGGGGCCTCCATGTCGCTGAGGACAGCTGCAGTTCCTTTCAGGACAGCCCCACTCTTTGTTGTGAGTGTGATTTCTCAGCTCCAGTGTAGAACCCTCATCCCACTAGCACAGCTCCTTCATCCTCCTGGCATGGACTTTCTGGCTTCCACCGCTGACCCTTGGGTCTTCCCGGCATGAATCCGTAAAAGAGACTGTCGTGAGTCCTTCTGGGCCCTGGACTTCCAGTTGGACTCCTGGAGGCATTGTCCTGAGCTCTGGGTTTTTATCTGGACTCACGTGGGACATTACCGTGGGGTTTAGGCTCTTGACTAAATAATCTATGTCATTGGTGTTGCGGATAGATTTCCTGTATTCTCCTGCGTTAACTTCTGGTGACTATTATAAAAATATTATAAACTCCATGTCCCACCTGAATTGTTCTCTGTGTACAACCCCTGACTACAACAGTGTTGATAAGCAGTTTCTACCCCTTGTGCTACTCTATTTAATAATCAATGTAAAGTACTGGGTAGACTTCTACTCCAATATAAGTAATAAGTTTAAATAAGTAATAAGTTTTCAACATAAGTAATAAGAAGTGGATAAATTACCTTATTTGGATTAGATAAAATTTAAAATCTGAACCCAGAAAGCAATGATTAAGGATAATAGTGGATTATACAATGTTGTGAATAATTTACCAGGTTCCCATGTCGTGAAGTGATGAAACTAATGTGTTTCATTACAGCAAGGGTAGTTTTTGAGAAAGATGGATGCATAATAACCCCAATGACTGAGCATTTTGCCGTTTACATGGAAAGCACAACTGGACCTTGAGGATATATAATGATGCTGAGCCTGGTAGAAAACTGGAGGACTCATGTGAGTATCTGAAAGCAGACAGAACAGAAGCTTTGGAAGAAAGCAGGAGAGATCTACCCATAAATTATAGTCTTTATTTCTTCCTTTCTTCTTTTTTATCTTCTCTCCTTCCTTCCTTCCTTTCTTTGTTCCTTTATTCATTTCTTCTTTCTTTCTTCTTCCCTCCATATTTACTTCCTTCCTTTCCTTCATTCTTTGGTTTTTTGATTCAAGTTATTATGTAGTGCCAATTGTCCTTGAAAATGTGAATTAGAATATGAGAGCACTACACTCAGGGAAAGAGAAATTCTCCTCCTGAGTGCTGGGCTTATAGATCTGTGCTACCACACCCTGCAACTCTGGATTCTTACTAGTTCCACAAGTTGGGCCCAAAGAGTGAACTGGGGGAGGAGGAGATCTAAGAGCTCTGGGCAAGTAGCATACAGTGATTTCTTACCCTATACTTTAGGTTTAGAGACAGTCTGCTAATATTCATTGTTTGTAACTATCCCAAATCCATGTCCCTTGCTCCTGACACTGGATCAGTTTACAAAGAAGAACCACCTCTTCCCCTCAGCCAACCTATTTCTTTTTTCTTTTTCTTTCTTTCTTTTCTTTTCTTTTTTTTTTTTTTTGGTCCTTTTTTGAGACAGGGTCTAATTTTGCAGTTCAGGCTGGACTTGAGCTCACTTTGTAGTCCTGTCTGCTCTTGAACTTGCAATGATCCTCCCACCTCAGCCTCCAGAGTGCTGGCATTACACGCATGAGCCACCACACCTGGCCAGCCAACCTATTTCTAATAGTCTTGAATCTATTTCCTTCCTATAACCTCCCTGCAACTGACATTCACCAACATGTGATCCTAAGGGAAACTCTAAAGTTTGAATCATTGCCCTCTCTGTCCTGCTTTTCTCATTACCACAAGAAACAAACAAACACAGTCTTTGATAACCTACTCAGTTACTAGCATTCTGGTGTTCCTACCCCATCCCACAGCCTCTCATCTTCTCTCAGATGGAAAGTAGATGATAGATCAGAGAATGCCAAATGTGGACAACCATATGAATCAAGTTTCCCAATGGAAATGGGGAGTGATAATGTCAAAATTAGGCTTATACAAGTGACTAGCAGGACAGAAAAGGGACACATACGCCACTAAGTACACTGTCAGAGATGTGATCAACAATCCACTTCATTTTCTGAATAATTCTTCACTCTTTGTGGCTCATACCCTATAATTTCGAATCTAGTGTACCTTATGTCATTAAACAAAATCTGCATTTAATAACATATTACAGGTAGACAAAAAAAGAACAAAAAGAATAACAAAAATAGGTCTTATTTCCCATGTCACTTCTGATCATGTGAGAGTGTATCTGTGACCTACCCATACTACGTATAAATCTTTCTTGTTGGAAAAGGATACTACATTGGAAATATCCTACTGAGAAGTAATTAAAATTGAACCTAAAACATTCTAAGACACTTGTAAAATGAAGTGTTTGGTGTGAGTCTGAAAATTCCTCCAAAATCTCATGCAGTCATGGAAGCAGGCTTCCGGATTTTGTGAATGACTCATGGTCCAAAGCTGAGATTAAAGGTGTGAGTGTCACTACACACAAGTCCATGTGGTCTACAAGCAAAATAAAGAGCAGGAAGAATTTTCTTCCCATGCTTCATTCATTTTGCTCTTGTTGATTTCATTGATTTTTGCTGCCATGAAATGTTGCCCTTTACCATGCACTACTCTCCCGTGGAGTCAGTTGATTATAGAGTGAAATGTCCACAAAATGTGATATAAACATACCTTTCCTTCCTTGATTTTAAATATTGGTTATCTTGTCTCATTAGTGGGAGAAAATACCCAACATTACATTTGGTACCCAAAGAGTTGGGTTGTTGTGGTGTCTATACCTGAACATGCAGTTCAAAAGCCTTTGGAAATAGTAGAGCTGAAATCCTTTAGGTTGATCTATGTGAGAGATGCACCTCAGATCACAAAAGAACACACAGCTGATACAAGATAGAAATCCTTTCAGGAAAAAAAAATACAGGCTCTGCAAGTTTCTTCTGGGAAAAGGACTTCACTGTATGTTGGACTCCACAGGTTGTGTTTTATTGTTATGGCATTTTCAAGATATTAACGCTTGGGACACTTAGTTCCACAAACAGGTGAGGTATAATTTAAACAGTGCATGTCAGCCATGTGACATTAAGACTGGTGACTACACTGATGCCTTTTTTCACTTCGGTTATAAATTGCTATACAAGTCCACAAGTTTAGAGGGTTGCCATGAATCCCACTGATACAGTACTTATTTTGCTTTGGAATCTTAGAAGAGTTTCTTACATGTCTGGTTAATCACTATGCAAAATGTAAGAAAACTTGCCTTTTGGTGGCTTGAGATGAAAACACTTTTTTTTTCCTTTTCCATAGCTTTTATGACCAGTTATTGCAGAGGAGCAGACTTTGGGGATTTGGCCAAAGTTCACTTAGTATTTCAGTTCTGTTTGCTAACTAGATATCCATATAAACCACAAAGTAAGAGGAATTTTGAAGACCAGGATTTGTGGTATTTCTAGTGCAAAAGCAGAAAAGAGAAACAGTACTGGGGGATGTGAATGCCCTCACATTCTCCACTCAACAATATATTATTTTCTAGGACATAGCTAGACCTTCATGAGGTGGTGGTTACTAGTTCAGCTGACTGGTATTACAGTCATCCAATATTATCATATGTCCTTGATATATACTACTTTGAGTCCTATGTGTTATCCAGTTAATTTTAGGCATGACCTAAATTTGAGGACAACTATGATATTAAATATTGGCCCTGTGATTCCTTCTAGGATTGAGTCTAGTTACACATTCCAATTGAACAATATCATATTGTCCATGAGTATCATTGTGCATTTTTCCCCTTTGATTCTTGTCCTGATTTCTCTAAAGGTTCTATGTTTATCCATTAATTGTTTGCATAGAAACTGCAGTTTCTCTTATTAAAGTAGAATTCCCTGCTTGTTCCATTAAAAGAAGGCTAAGTCCCTTTCTAAATTTGTTTAAATATACATTTGCCAGGGAGTTCACCTGGTTATGAAACAGTTTAATGACTGACTACCCCCACATGATGCTCTGTTGTATGCTGTGTGTTATTCAGTGAAGCCTCTAGAGTCATGTTTCAGAATGGGCTAGTGCTCCTGCACTAATTGCAAGTGTCACAGGATGCATGCCCTTACAATTACTCGCAGTAGAGCAGTCTGCTTTGTCGTGTCTAGTGGTTAACCAAAAGGCATCAGTCGTGACTCCCTACATGTATAGCTGTTACTCTGTGAATGAGCTTTGGTAGTAGGCAAGGTAGTGTCATAGTAAAAATTTGGTCTATGGTTGAGGCATTTGAACAACCCATTAGTAGAGAAAACAACTCTTGAGCCTCCCAGTAGGTGGAATCCTGAACCCTAGTCTGGTTTCATGTAACCTCATTGTCACCCTGTCCTACATGAAATTCTTGTTCATAAACAGTCTCTATCATGAATAAAGGTATGGGTTCTCAGTCTTCCAGGTAACAGGGTATTTGACTGGGTATAACTATGATTGAGGAAGCTATAGGTTCATAAAAGTTTAATTTGGTCTACTAATCATCCAGAAGTTCCTTACTATCATGGGGTGTGACATTTTTAGAAGTTTATTAGTCCTATAAAGTAAATCCTAGATTTTGCACTTTTTGGTCTGGGTCATCTTGCATATATAGCAGGGGTGAGGTATTTCTTTTAGGGGTGCCTTAGGTAATATATTTGCATCAGGCTTACACAACATGCAACATGCAGGAGAGTGTAAGAAAAAATGCAGCAGGGTTTCGGACCAAAATTTCAGTCCTTGGTATGTAAGAAAGAATTCTTTGCTCTGTTCCCTTCCGTATATTTGCATATATATTTGAATGCCCTAAATGAGCCTTCTTGCTCAAATTGGATTATTAATATCCTTGAGTATGATTCAAACCCGCAAACAGAACTTGTCTGACTATGCAGTTCTGCAACGTTGTAACTATTCTCTATATACATGTTAGAACTTGTTATTCTGAGCCCACCCCTGGGTCATTGGATTTTAGTCACTTTTTTTTTCTAATTGTAAGTATAACCCCCCATAATGCCATACCCAGAATCCTATGGTCCTACAACATCACTTTGGACAGTATGCTTCTCTTTTAATATTATAATTCTGCTTCATCTTAGGATTCATATATAATCCATAAGTCACCAGGTTTATGTCACCTAAATTATGCTTAAGTGTCCTTTAGTACCTTCCATGCAGGGAAGTCTTCTATAGACCTTCTGTTCTGCCTTCTGTTGGGGTTCCAAAAATAGCCTATGGGGAAAAAAACACAACAGAGAGAAATCCTGCTTTTATAGCCTGGTTAATTCCAATATTGTTTACTTTTGGGGATTCAATGCTATATTCAGAGGGGTTTATCCAAGTTCATCAGGACTGGCTATTTTTATCTGTGAAATAATGTCATGAAACTTCACCTGCAGGATGAAGAGCAGGAAAGGTGAAACCTAGGTTGTGACTGTTAAGTGTAATCCCAGAAGTATTAATCAGGCTAGCACTAGGAAAATCATTTCAAATAGTTGAATATTTAGTTTAATAAAAACAAGTAGGGATAATAGAACAAAAGCAATCTCCTCTGGAATTTCCCACTTCCCTAGGGACATTGTCCCAAGGTCAACAGCAAACACCATGACATCCAAGAGGAATAGGATCAAGAACCCAATTTGGATAGCAGGACATTGAAGATAACTATAGTCTAGTGTACAGTGTCTCCTCAATCTTCATCTGTGCATTGACTCCTCAGCTTCTAAGCTGATGAGGGCAGGATTTTGGGTACTTTGTCATTTCATTGTGTTCTTTAGGGGAGCTGTTTCATTGCTTGTTGTAGTAATGGATTTCAAGAGAGCCATTACCATCCAAACATGGAATTTATAACATTATTTATGATGGTCATCCAGAGTTTAACAGAAAAAGA